TTGTCAAATCTGCATGGAGGAATACTTAAAGAGATAAGAGCATTCGGTGAGAACAGTAATTTTTTAAACAATTCTTTCCCTTTTGTTGCTATGCTTATACTTTATGAAACAAGAAGAGACTGAGAAATACAATGAATCACGAAATAAATTACTTTTGTTAGCGAATAGATATGTTATGTATTGATACTTCACAATTTAGAGATTTTTTTTTATTTTCATGGAATAATATTTTTAATGGCTTTAAGAAAGTTTTTATTTTGTTGAAAGACTCGGTCAGGCTGTCAAACTTTATGGATTTCGGTAAGACATTACAGGAATGATGGTGAGCTTTTAATACTTTAAATTGATAATGCTCGGGAGTTTTGAATTCAAAATTTCTAACCCAAAGTGGTCTTAAAATGACACTTTCGAAAGGTTGGATATAGAAGAACCCAATAATTTTATACTGTAATATATAATTTATTGAAAGCGTGTACGCCTAAATGTATCCAAATAAAATATCATTGTTTTTCAGTCGAGCTCCTTATTACAGAAATTGGTGTGAAGCCTACGTTGTACTTTTATTGATTTTTTTTTTTTTTACTTATATCTTTATGGATTATTTCAATTGTATTTTAGTTTTATAAACGAAACATTTCAGTTTAAATCCAATATAGGTAACAATTCAATTACTATTTAGTTCAATCTAATTTGCTGACCTCTTTAAATTTAGGTGTTGTTTCGTTTTTATTATCCAATCCATGCGAACCATTTGTCCTAGAAAAAGAGCAGGCACTCATTTGTTCGCAAGTAGAGTGTAAAACTTTACTTCTACTTTAAAAAAAAGGGGTGATTAGAAGAAAAAAAAAGAGGTAAATTGTAGCTTTAACTACAGCAGTGTTTATCTAACAGTTTATAAGGTTAATACATATTCTGGCTTGAGATCAAACATGACATCTGAATTTATATAATAAAAAGTCAATAACCTTTTAAACTTTAAATCCCCTTCTTGTTATCAGAAAAAGCAATCAATATATAAAATTAAATAGTCAAAAAAGTGGAAACTTTATAGATTTAATTTAATAATGTGTAGATCTCTTTTTGGTTATTTCATTATAAATAAACTCGTACTTTCAAACTTAAATTTTGATATAATTGAAAGTCAAAATATGTCTTCGTAGCTGGATCAAGTTTCTTTCATTAAAATATATATTATATTAAGCCTCAGTAGCTTGATTTCCATTTACGCTCCCTGCAAGTTGTTGTTTCTTAGAAGAATTATTCTGTATGAAACATTTATCTTATATGTTTGGTCACCCTGGTGATTCAGTGATACATTTGAGAGCTTATAAGCGTGCAACTGGGGAAATCACTCTTCTCAACGAACACCAGGCAAGTAACCATTTTTAGAGATTTGGTAAACACAAACGTTCTATACTTTATATCTTTACAAAAATCTTTATATCTTTCGCATTTTCATTTAAATAACCGGCTATAATAACGGATTATAAATTGTTATTATTTTAAGCTTATGTAGTTAAAAAATCTTTTACTTAAAATATTAAGAACGAAAATACAACGTTGAAATTTTAGTTTTATTAGAAACAGGGCACGGCCCTAAAAATACTCTAGATGTTTCTACAACGCTCTACGCCACCATCACCAGAGGTAAGAGTTAAAATCAGATATTGAATTATATACCTAAATGGACTTCAACTATTATAAATGTATATTACACCTTCAGCGCCATCTAACCACGAACACAATTACACCCACCTCCCACGAAAAGCTTTCAGAACAGGTTTCCAGTATTTCATTTTTTCCACACCTGGACCAGATTTTTTATTCTAAGTAATATTTTTGTTTTTCTCAATTTCTACTAATTCTATAATATTCAATTTCCACTTAAACCTAACCTGATTTATTAAATTAGCATTTTTCCAGTCTATAATATAAGACGTGCCTGCCATATACTAAAGCCAATTCATTCAATTTATGTTTGTCTACAGGTTTCTGCAAGTTTTTTAATACAAACTAGACCATAGACACGGGAAATTTTATAGATACCACATTTATCAGTTGTTCTATTTTATATTTTACACCCGTGAGACAATTATCTAACTTATAACGTAAAAACAAAGTTACCCCACAACCTATATATTTTTATTATGTTGCCTATTCTTGTGAAAATAGCACACGGAGAGCCGTTACTGAAATCTTACTATTATACGTCTTGAAAATTTCTTAGTTTTGTCTTTTTTACCTTTTATATGCGAGATTTCTATGTTATTAGGTCCCACTGTGATGTCTCAGACAGTAACTACCTTCTTAACTGTATTTTCTTATATCTTTTGGGGGACTCCCTTGACTACAATATTTTGATTGTAACTTTGTTATTCTACTTCGTTAAGCCTGTATATCAAATTTGAAATCTCCATTGTTAAGAAAACGTTTTTCTTTTTTGATTTTCCAACTTCAGATTTTGTAGCTACTCAGTTCTTTTAAAATTATTTTTAGTTGACTTAACAATTCCTCATATTTCTGAAACTAAAAATTACAGTTTCAGTTAATGTTGAATTACATTAGGTATAATTTTAAGCTCCTTTAGCTGTAACGCTAATGAGCTTAAAGTAGGCTTACTTAAACACATATTACTGTCACTATTTCTTGACTGCTGACTTTCTTCTTAGCGACGTATATTACACTTCCATTTTGGTCTATGTACTTTTAAAAAGTTATGAAAACTTTGTTTTTTATTAATCCAGCACGGTAAAAATATCATGCACCACAATGTTTCGCATTACATTTTATCAAGCCATTTATTTCGATGATATCTTCATTACATGCCACATATTTCTCGCTAACTTCTTTCAACCAATGTGACAGTAATCTGATATTTTAATGCCATTATGCTATAGTTGGCTCCACATTTTCGACGTCGAATACTTTCAAAAAACAAAAAAAATAGCTGTCGGAAGCAGTGGTAACTGGTTTCAAATGAGTTTTCAAACAATAATCTGGTGCTGGTATTAGTTCTGTCCGTAAGTTCATTTTTAGTCAATTCAAATAAGAGAACTGTAGTTCGATTTTTTTCTTTTTTGCTTATATAGTTGCTGGTAATAGAAACTAATATTTAAATGTAGATATATGTTTAGAATCTTACTTCTGTTTGTATATTATCATTTGATTCAAGATTTCTAAGCATCTATCCTTTATGTATTAATAATGATTTGCTATAAATACAGTAAAAAAATTAAGTTAATTATCGGTACCTCTAAGTAGGCTTTAATTAATTGTTTCAATACTGCATGTTAAGTAAATTTTCAAAGAAAGAGCTCAAATGAAGAAGAGAAAAGTAATCACAAGTTGAAATAAAACAGCTTATGGAGTCATATTTTGAAATGAAATACTTTATTGCTATAATGGAATTATTATTAAACTACAACGTTCTTGTATCGTTTCCTTATGATTCTGCTATCATCGTGATTAAGAATGTTGAAATAATTACAAACGTTTTGTTGGTGATCTACATCAAGTATCAAGGGCTTTCGTGATGTATGATGCATTGTAGTTCTTATAAATTTAACTTTATTCGATAAGAAAATTGAAAGTTGCCGTAAATTATGTACATTACAAAAAGTGTATTAAAAATAATAGGGCTAATAAACTCGTGCTTTGAAGATTCTCACATCCACTGAAGTTTAATAAGATTTGGAATAAACTTCACCAAACATCTCTAATCTCCATAAATATATTCTCACATTAAATTATTTATCATGTTTATCATGTTTTTTAATCAAAGATACCATATTCAGGTGTAAAGCAATTTTAAGTCAGTGATCAACTTTCAAAACAATAAATAAAACCTTTCACTTAAAAACTTATAGAATAGAGTAATAGCTACCTAACAAAATGTTTGTACCAATGTTTAGTGTAGAAGTAATAGCTACCTAACAAAATGTTTATACCTCTGTTTAGTGTAGAAGTAATAGCTACCTAACAAAATGTTTATAAACATTTTGTTAGGTAGCTATTACTTCTACACTAAACAGAGGTATACCTGTGTTTAGTGTAGAAGTAATAGCTACCTAACAAAATGTTTATACCTATGTTTAGTGTAGAAGTAATAGCTACCTTACAAAATGTTTATACCTATGTTTAGTGTAGAAGTAATAGCTACCTAACAAAATGTTTGTACCTCTGTTTAGTGTAGAAGTAATAGCTACCTAACAAAATGTTTATACCTCTGTTTAGTGAAGAAGTAATAGCTACCTAACAAAATGTTTATATCTCTGTTTAGTGAAGAAGTAATAGCTAGCTAACAAAATATCTGTACCTCTGTTTAGTGTAGAAGTAATAGCTACCTAACAAAATATCTGTACCTCTGTTTAGTGTAGAAGTAATAGCTACCTAACAAAATGTTTATACCCCTGTTTAATGTAGAAGCTTCGTTCTATAAAACTGTCATACCGCGAAACCATACTCACTCTATTTGGTGTAGAAACTTCTTTCTATGAAACTGTCATACCAAGAAACCATACTCACTCTATTTGGTGTAGAAACTTTGTTCTATGAAACTGTCATACCAAGAAATCATACTCACTCTATTTGGTGTAGAAACTTCTTTCTATGAGACTGTCATACCAAGAAACCATACTCACTCTATTTGGTGTAGAAATTTCGTTCCATGAAACTGTCATACCAAGAAACCATACTCACTCTATTTGGTGTAGAAACTTCTTTCTATGAGACTGTCATACCAAGAAACCACACTCACTCTATTTGGTGTAGAAACTTCTTTCTGTGAGACTGTCATACCAAGAAACCACACTCACTCTATTTGGTGTAGAAAATTTAAAATGTTAAATGAATAGTTGTTTGTGGTGAATATTTCTGTCTAAATGAAGTTGTTAGCCGTGATTCACGAATATCGTTAAATACAACTTGACATTGATAATAAATCGAACAACACCGTGGCTGTTTATTGGATTTGTTTGTATAACAAACAAAAGGCACAAAAATGACGTCCAAGTACTTTATTTTTATTTTACCTGTTTTTTACAAAGGTTTACAACATGTAGTTTAAAGAAAACGTTAACATAAAACCTTATTTTATTAAAATTTTGAACACATTGAAGATACAATTCGTTAAACTGATATTACATAACATAATATTCTTCAGGGTGACATTCATTCTTCAAGCTAGACATTGACTGTGGTGTTTTTATTGTTCAATGTATCCTGTAAACGAAAACCAATAACTGATAAGTGTAAAATTACCTTGTTACAAAAAAAGCATAGCTATCCAGTTGTCTTAAGTCACAGATAATGTAAAGGGATAATTTATTGAAATCAAGGTATTATGTTATTTTTTTGCCATTTCCCTATATTTAATTCTAAATGGTTTAAAGCACTTTATTTGTTACGCTGTAAATTTTTATGTTTTTTTTTTTACCTTTTCTTGTTATGAAATTTTTTGTTTAGTCAAAACGACTAGAAAATTCCGAAAGTAATTCAAAGGGAAAATAAATTCATAACCAAGCACAAATATACAAAATGGCTTTCAAATATTTATTTTTTAAAATATTCCTTGCACAAATTATAGTAAATTGGGCGTATTTGATTTTAAGTAAATAAACAAAACAAATATGATAATTTTAAACAGTTTGACGTTTCATTTAATTATTTGCCGCTTTATTAACAATGTGATTTTTATGTTTTATGTATGTAACTTCTTCCGTCAAGTACAACACAGTTAAAAGAGTGAACTAATAATTCATCGTACTTTCAAGAAACTGGTAAAATAAAACAGATAGCATACTGTTTTGATTAATTTACAAAATTCCAGATTTTATTGAAGTTTCTTTAGTAAAACGTAAACGACTATCCATCCACAGCTCTAACAATAAAACATTAGAAGACACATATAGCTTCATAAGATACTTTTGTTTGTTGGTAAGCACAGCTGTACAGCTGTGATACTCGGTTTTTAGCGTAATAAGCCTTCAGATACTTGAGAACTTTAATATACTTACAAGCAAGGCTCGTTATAAAACTATTTTACTCGCAATTAACAGTCCTTCACTGGTTGTTTTATTAAAATGTGTTCTTATTCACATACTAGCGTGTTTCAACATTTCACGTGATCCAAAATAGAACTTTGGTTTTAAACTGGCGAACGTCTAAGGTCAAGATAAAAATATGCTAATACTTAAGGTTATATGGAGGATTACAGAAATTTGGAATATTATCTATAAAATATGTTATCTATGCCGTATAATAATACATTAACTACTAGTTATAGAAATATTTGTATATCAGAGTGAATACAAAACACATCGTCGAAATAGATTTCTTTTGAAATATAATACGTACAAATATATTTCTAGTGAAATGTAATACGTACAAATATATTTCTAGTGAAATGTAATACGTACAAATATATTTCTAATGAAATATAATACGTACATTTGAAATGTACCCATTTCCACTGGAGCGTGATATGTTAGGACTTACAATAGCAAAGAACAACAACACACAGAATGTAGCATAGCCTGAAGAAATCCCTCAAGGAAGCTGAAAACAAAGAAACCAAATACGGAGTTTAGTTTCGGAGATAAATGATTTTTTCGTATCTTAGAAAATGCTATCTTTGAAGTCGATGGAAAAAAAAGAAACTATGAAGTGGTGATATAAAAAATAGTTATATACAGAACGAGAAAGTTTTCATATGTGCAAGGTCAGCCAAAACTTTCTAGTACAAATATATTGTAAATGTTGGGATTATGAAGTGTTTTGTATCATGCATGATTATAGTGTAAATACTTTAACAATAAAAATTAAATATTTTAATTTTTTGTCCGATGATTGACAACAATTGAATTTTTTGACTGAATTATTGGCGAATTTACTAAAGAT